TTGCCTTGCAAAGTGGCTGACCCGAGTTCGATTCCCAGCATCCCATATGGTCCCCTGAGCACCGCCAGGAGTAATTCCTGAGTGCAGAGACAGGAGTAACCCCTGTGCATCGCCGGGTGTGACCCAAAAAGCAAAAAAAAAAAAATGAGTCCTGGTAAGCCACGTGCCTGCTTGAGGGTCGCAACTAGGAAGACGCCTGAGGGAAAAGACCAGGATCCAGGGGCAAAAGTGGAGGTCAGGTCCCAGCTTTGCAGAGGAAACAGCCAGGGGTGGGGGTGGGGGTGCAAGATGCTCATGGGTGCTGCCCCGGACACAGCACCCCAGCTAGAAAGCACCCAGTCCTGAAGATGAGCGAGACCCCCACGCCACACTCAGAGAGGACTTCCCCTCCGCCTCCTCCCCAAAAGATCCATTCTCGGGGTTCAGACCGCCTGCCTGACTCCCAGACCCCCGCACACACATACCCCTCCATCGTCAGCCAGGATGTGCCCCCCTGCCACTGAGCAACATCAAGGAACGAATTTATTTATTTTTGGGGTTTTGAGCCCCAGTGGCTGGTGCTCAGCGCTCACTCCCGGCTCTGCACTCAGGGGGTCGCTCCTGCAGGGGGTGGGGGAGCCTGGGTCAGCCGCGTGCAAGGCAAGGGCCTTACCTGCTGCACTTCCTCCCCAGTCACCTCTGGGCCTCAGATGCACCATCTGTCAGTCTATTTTCCTCGCAGGGGGATGGAAGGGTGAGCCCAGGAGGACACCAGTATTGTGTCCCCCGGGCATCCCAGTAGAACAGACTGCAGGCTTCACCAGAAACCTACGATCTGCTACCGCTGAGAGGTGTGGTCACTGGAAGCCCAGGCTGGCTGCAGGCCGGAGGAGGGGAGCACTGAGCTGGGTTCAGAGCAAGAACGATTTCATAGAGGGGGATTTGTCCAGCCTTCAGGGTGTGATTCCACAGATGTGCCCCCAGGTGGCGCCATGGGACCAGAGTCAGAGTCAGTCTCGTTGGCATGCCTGGGGTCCGGCTGGAGGTACACTGGGGCACTGGGAGACCCTCACGCAGCTCCCAGCTGGGGAAAGCTTGACCCGAGTCCCTCTTCATGGTTCCTCTGAGTCTCTTTGATCCGGGTTTTGGGGACAATGACGGGAAGCCCAATCCACATGTTTCGCACGGCCCACTGAGGACCTGCTAGAGGCAAGAGATGCATGGGGAGTCATCCAGTGACTTCGGTGGCTGCGAAGGGCCTTCAGGAAACCAGCTTTGCCTCGGTGCTGGTGCTGTCTGATCAGAAGCTGGGGGGCGGGGGGACCTCGGCCTTGGGGAACAGCATCAAGGCGGAGGTTTCAGGACTCCTCGCTCTGCCAAAAAGCAGACATGCTCTGCCCAGCCAAACGGGGGAGGGAGTCATCGGGGTTGTGCTTTCCAAGGCGGCTCCCACCCAGCCTTTCTGGGTGCTCAGGAGACACACGCTCCCTGGGAGGTGCTGATCTGAAGGGGTTCAGTTTACAACATGAAGGAGCTTCCCGACTCGGGAGCTCAGTGGAAAAGGGGACCCCACAATTCGAGGAAATAACTTCACGCAGGGTTAGAGCAGCCGGGCCCTTGGAAGTCAGCCCCGGTGGCCCCAGGGACCCACTGGCACCACAACTCGCCCAAACACCAAAACCCCACAGAACAATGCCACTCTGTGTCCTGGCTCACAATGTGTCCAGAACGCAGTGGGGGTGGTGTGTGGGGAGGCCAGCATTCCCATCATTGGTATGGAAAAGGACAAAAGTACTGTTTCTGTGTGTGTTCACATTTGCATGAATGAATTCTGGAAGGGTTTGTCTTACTTGGTCTGGTCTGGCTTGGGGGCCATACCTGGTGTGCTCAGAGGTTACGCCTGCTGGCTCTGCACTCGGGGATCACTCCGGGCAGGGATTATGGGATGCGGGGGATCGAATCTGGGTGGTTCATGTGCAAGCGAGCACCTTACCCACTGTACCATCTCTCCAGCTCTCTACGGAAGGATTTAAAAGGTGGAGAAGGAAGGAAGATTTTACAGGTGGAGAAGGAAGAGGATAAATATTGTTTAAAAGGTGTTTTTACAGGTGAAGGAAGGAAGATAAATATTGATGGATGTATTGGATGGATGGATGGATGGATGGATGGATGGATGGGTGGATGGATGGGTGGATGGGTGGATGGATGGATAGGTGGATGGATGGATGGATGGATGGATGGGTGGATGGGTGGATGGATGGATGGATGGATGGATGGATAGATAGGTGGATGGATGGATGGGTGGGTGGATGGATGGATGGATGGATGGGTGGATGGATGGGTGGATGGATGGATGGGTGGGTGGATGGATGGATGGATGGATGGATGGATGGATTGGGTAGGTAGATTGGATGGTTGGGTTGATAGATTGAGTGGATGGATGGATTGGGTGGATGAATGTACTGAACGAATGGATGGATTGATGAATGTATTGGATGGATGGGTAGGTAGGCAGATGAATGTATTGGACAGACAGATGAATGAATGTGTATCAGTGGAAGTAGCCTTCTCTGTGTATCCATTTGACCTTTGCCATGTGAATGTACCTCCTTTCAAAGACTAGATTTTAAGTGTAGTTTGTCCTACATCATCGAGTTTCCTTGGGGGGGGGGCTTGCCTGCAGGATGTGGGATGATTTCAGGTGGTCTGCGTGGTAACTATAAGCAACTCACAGACTCCAGGTGGGGAGATCACACCCTTTCCTTTCTCTGGTTTTCAGAATCCATCACGGAGGGTCTCATGAGACCTGGAGTGTCTTGCGCCTCCCAGGGCCCCCTGGACTCTGCCTGACCCCGCCTGCAGCCCTCAGGCCGGGAGCTGGGCCTCCCCCGCAGCTGGAGGATGTGGACTCGCCGTTCTCTCGACACTGGATCAATGCGCACCAGTGTGTCGTGTGAGTGCGGGGGATTGTGGGCTGTCTGTTCCAGCAGCAGGGAGAGAGTCCTACTCAGCCCTGTGTCCTGTGAGAGCCACGCAAGGAAAACGACGCGTCCTAATGTCGTTCGTGCTGTGGGCGTAGTGACGTTACCGAATGCCAGCCCTGAACGAAAACCAGCCTCCACGTCTGCGTGAATTCACACTCGCTCCCCACCTGCTCCCGTGACACGAGGGTGAAGATGAGGGGCGGGTGGGGGTGTGGGGAAAGTGGGGACCAGCCGCAGTCACCGGTCAGGGAGGTGGAGTGGGACTCTGGGCCCCAGCCTCCCACAGGGCAGCTCCGCAGGGACTAGGCCTGGTGCCACTGCCCAGCGGCCCTGGAGGCAGTTACCCAGAAGGTCAGGGTTCATCTGGGCAGCGTCAGCATCCTTCCCGAGCTCTGCGCCCTAAAGCCAGGCAACTGGTTTCTCCCCTTTGTCCCAACCACAGGCCTCCACAGCTCTACCTTCTTCTGCCTCTCTGTCTCTGTCTCTCTGTCTCTCTCTCTCCCCTCCTCCTCCCTCCCGCCCTCCCCCCACCCTCCCTGCATGTGCTTTTGGCAGTAGAGGCTGGGCTGGGCTCCTGCACTGCCCTCTGGAGACCCTCTACAAAGCCCCAGGATTTCTCTGTCCTGGCATGTGACAGGAAGGCTGTGCCCTCAGCGAGGGAGGGAGAGCACTGCCCGAAGCAAGAGACCACCCAACTGGGCACGGGCACCCCCCGGGGCCTGGCTGTCACAGTGGCTCTACCGCCCAGGGGTCCCACGGGCAGTGTAGCCTCTCCCTCCTGAAGGAGCCGGGACCCTCTTCCTTACCCCACCCTCTGCACAGCCATCAGCTGAACCTCCCCCCCAACACACACACACACACACACACACACACACACACACACACACACCGGCGCACATGACAGTGCCCGGGCACTGGGAAGCTGGGTCCATGGGCTACTTGCAGGGGGGAGCCCCGGATCTGAGCCCCCAGCACCTGCGAGCCAGCTGAGGCTGGGGTGGCCCAGCCAGGGGGCTGCTTAGAGGTCTGCGGGCCACTTGTGCTGGCTGATGGACACTGAGCATGTACTGGGAGGTAACTCGGCTCTCGGGTCAGGTGGCCTTTCTGCGTAACTGCCCTTCCCCTGCCCGGGGCCACCGTCCACAACCCAGGTGGCAGCTGCCTCTCGCTGTGAGCCCTCTGTGGGGGTTGCTGGCTCCCTCCGGGGAGGGGTCCTCACCCGCTGGGGTCCTCTGCATCTCAGGACCCCGGCCTGGCGCTGCCTCATCTATCATCTCGCCATGCCGTCCTATCCCTTCTCTCCCTCTGGCTGTCACGGGAGTGAGGGACAGCCCCCGAATCCAGGCCTCCCGCCCCTTCGGTCCCAGACCCTCGGAGCTGCGCAACTTCCTCCCCCCACACCCCACGCCCCCTGGCGCTGCCCCCCACAGAGCCAGTTCCCGAGTTGGGCATCTCCCACGGAGCTGAGATGTTTTCCGGGTGGGAGACAGGGGACCCCAGGTCAGAGCTGCCCCGGGCCACTTCCACCCTGACCCCAAGTCCAGCCACGCACACTGTCCTTCCCTCACCCCCGGGGCCTCCCCGACGCTGTACAGTCACGAGTGTGTGGCTTCAGATTCCTTTGACTCAGATTTATTGAAAACGCCACCACAACGCACACAACGCCAGTACCGGTGCCATAAATAAAAGGTAGCTGATTTTAAAAATACCCAGAAGACTACGCGGTGCTCTGAAAGTCAGGCGACCTCCAGCCTGCCCCGACCCCCAGGGCTGCTGGCCAGAACCAGGGGTGGGGGTCTGAAGCACATGGGTGCCATGCCAGGGCTTTCTTCTTGGCACCAAGGATTGGGGGGAAAGCCGGAAAGGGGGATCCTTTCTTGCATGGACGATGCGCCCCGTGCAGGCCTGGTTTCTCCCGGAGGCAGCTCAGGGGGCCCGGGATGCTGCCCTGACTCTCGGAGGGCCATGGGGGCTGCCGGCCTCTGCCCGACACATGGGGCCACGGGTGGAAGCGCCTTCCAGGCTCGCCACCCCCGTAGCTCCCTCTGGCCACCGCGGTCACCGCTGGCTGAGGTGGGCCAGCAGGTACACGAGGCCCGCCAGCAGCAGGCCCCGCGCCCCGAGCATCACCAGCAGGAAGAGCAGCAGGAGGGACATGACGGGCTCCACGGCGTGGTTGCCCAGGTACCACTGCGGGAAGCCCAGGGTCACCAGCTGCCGGTTGAGGTCGTGGAAAGGGGGACTGGGCCGCCCCCAGCCGGGCAGCAGCCTGCTGCTGGCGGGTCCCAGGACCCCCCAGGGGGGTGCCGTGGCCCCTGTTGAGAAAGCTCTGTCGGGAGGAGACAGAGAGTGTGAGTGTCCCGCTGACCAGCAGGACGGAGCCCGGGGCTGGCCCCTCGACAGCCAGCCTCGTCTCAGTCCTTCTTTCTCAGCAACCCCGGCTGCCCACCATGAGGGGCCCAACCCCAGATGCCAACCACAAGTGTCCCCCTCGCTCAAGGATCCAAGGCAGGTGGGTGCCCGGCCCAGCCTGACCCTGCGCCCCTTCCTCTGAACCCTGGGTGGCCCCAGGCTCGGCTCCGCTACCCACTCCTGTTTCCTCCTCCTCCTCCCACTGGTTCTGGAAGGAAAAAGCCTGAGCAGATTCCAGACTCTGGAATCTCTGCAAGCCAGGGAGGCTGCTAGGTTGGCCTGGATCTATCCGGGGGTCCCCCAGATTCCACCCCCAGGATCCCTGGCCCAGCAGTGTGCAGAGAGAGCTGCGGACCAAGGCGGGTGAGTGAGCAGTCGGGGTGTCTGGGTGCTGTGTCGCGAAAGGAAGGGAGGCAGGTGTCCACCCTCCCCTGTGCACGGGCATCTTGGGACCTTACCTGCCCAGGGGCGCTGCTGCGGGCCTGCTGGGTGGCCCTCACCCGCGGGTCATCATCCTGCACGATTTCCCCATTGGCCAAGATCCGCACCATCTTCCTGGAACCCTGGGTCCCCCGGCAGGGCTGGCACCTTCCCCCCTGCCAAAGTCCCAAGGGAGCAATTGACCAAAGATGAAGAATTGTGGCCAGTGTTGGGGGTGGGGGGGCGGTGTGAGGGGGTGGGCTGTGATTGGGGGGTGGGCTGTGATTGGGTACTGGTCTGGAGCAGGAAAAGGAGAGGAATAAATGCAAGGAGTTTGCAGGGCAGAATTTTTCCTAGTTCTTGGTGCCCGGGAGAAAACCCTGAAAAGGCTCTGGGGTTCTCCACGATTTACTCTGAAGGGCCCTGAAGCCCCCCACCCTCACCTCTGCGTCCACTCACCGAACTGGAACCTGCGGCTGGAGGCGCCTCTCCCAACCTCTGCTTTTCCTTCGCTGAAAAATTAAGCCCTGTAAAGTTTCCCCCGGAAAGGGTCCAGCCAGGACCTGGCCTCCCCCAGGCCCCTTCCAGGAGGCGCAGGCCCACTTGGGGTGACACCCAAGGGGATCCTGTCTAAGAAGGGGGGGCTGGGCCCCATCGGCCCCAGATGGGGAGGGGGCTGCGGAGGCGGGGCCCCGGGGGGCCTCTCCCCAGTCTGTGTGAGCCCCCCCACGAGCCCATTCTCATCCAGACCCCCCAACCGCTCACCCCCTCCCCTAGGGGAGCGCCCCCACCCCACCCCCGCCCTACAGTCAGGCGTGTCCTGGACTTGAGGGGCGACCCTTGCAGAAGGCCCAGCGGCGGGTGCCCGCATCCCTTCGTGCACGGGCACGGGGTGGGCCTGGGGTCGCGGGCAAGGGGCTGGGGGCGCCCGCGGGGGTCGGGGGGAGGGGGCGGGCTCCCGGGGAGTGGGTGCGGCCCGGGTCTCCCAGCCCCGCCCCGAATCCTGGCGCGCCCGGGGGAGTCGAGGGGTGCATGTGAGCTGCCTCGCACCCCGGGTCCGGGCACCCACCTGCGGGCGCGGCTCCCCAGCCCGGCGCTGTCCACTCCCGGCCGCTCGCTGGCCGCTTCCTCCCGCCTGACCTCACAGGAAGCGCCGAGCGGAGGCCGGCGCGCGCGCCCCCTTCAGCCCGCGGCGGGAACTGCAGCTGCCTGGCGGGGCGGGGGGAGGCAGCGCCGGAGGGAGGTGGGGAGGAGGGAGGGAAGGGCGAGGGGTGGACAGGGGAGGGAGGACACGAAGGGAGCCGAGTGCCCAAGGGAGGTGGAGCCCGCAGAGGAAAAGCCCTCTGACCTGCAGGAAAGCCTTGGCCCACCCCAAGTTCGCTGAGCCCGTCCAGGGTGACCCGGTGGGACCTGGGACCGGTTCTGCCCCCAGGGAGCTCCAGCTGCAGGGCAAGGAGAGGCCGGAGCCACTGGACAGGCGCAAGGGGCTGCTCAGGAACCAGGACGGCTTTTCCAGGAGGCGTGGTGTGCTGAGCACCTCAAGCTCCCCGGATCTGCCAGCTATCCCAATGCACGTGCTTTCAGACCAACTTCGTGTCCAGGAGCAGCAGGGATGACTTGGACCTCAGCTCAGGGACCTCAGCTCAGGGATGACTCAGACCTCAGCTCAGGGACCTCAGTTCAGGGATGACTCGGACCTCAGCTCAGGGACCTCAGTTCAGGGATGACTCCGACCTCAGCTCAGGGATGATTCTGACCTCAGCTGAGGCTAGAGTCCTTGCTCAGTGCAGCCAGGCTTCCTGCAGAGCACCTTCCATGGAGCGTTTGGTGGTTGGCAAGCCCCCGATGTGGTGGGTACTGTTATTCTCTGCCTTTTACAGAGGGAAGGGCTGAGGGCAGAGGGGGAGGAGTGCCTGGACACAGTGTCCTGGGCTGGCCCCTGGAGGGTTCAGGAATCAGTGAACTGCGGTGGTGGGCAGCGGTTTAGCCTGGGACCAGAGGAGTTTGCTGAAGCAAGGAACAGGGAAGCACTGGTGTCTGGCAAAGGGTGAAGACCCCCCTCTGCCCCTGCCTCTTTTCCTGGCTGACAGTTTCCCGTCCTCCCTCCCCAGTCTCAGAAGCCGGTTGAGCGGCAGAGAGTGAACCCTTCAGGCCTGCGGGCTGGGTTGTTTCCAGGCAAGACTGAGGTGTTCTCAGGAGGATTACTCCATAGCTTAGAGGTCAGCTGGGCATTCTAGGGGAAAGGGCAGCTCAGAGAAGGGAGCACCAAATAAAGGGTGTTGGGAGGATCCTCCCAGGATGGGAGATGCGTGCTCAAAGTAGACTATAGACCAAACATGATTGCCACTCAATGCCTCTTTTGCAGACCACAACACCCAATAAGAGAGAGAGAACAAAAGGGAACGCCCTGCCACAGAGGCAGGGTGGGATGGGGGGGTGGGGGTGGGAGGGATACTGGGACCCGTGGTGGTGGGAAATGGGCACTGGTGGAGGGAAGGATACTTGATCATTGTATGGCCGAAACCCAAGCACAAAAATTTGTAAATCTACAACTGTACCTCATGGTGTTTCACTAATAAAAAAAAAGGGGGGGGGAGAGAAATATCACTAAACAACTTTAGAGAGAAACACAGATACAATTGTGAAATAAATGTGTCCTGATAGTTTCCTAAAGGAAACCATTTAGTGATGACTTCTAAACGACTTCATTTCATGCATTTGTCATAAGCATGGAGATATTTTCTTTTTCCATTTGCAGATATCTAATTGTTCTCAAATATCAAAAAAAAAAAATAAAATGTGTTATCTCTCAAAAAAAAAAAGACTGAGGAGTTCCATCTCTCTCCCTCACAGGATGGGGCCATCACCGGTGCCCCCTGTGGTTTGTTGTGACCCTGAGAGTCCCTGCGAATGTTGATCAGTGGAATTGATCGTATTTACCAATCAATAGTAAAGTAAGTAAAGTAAAGGCCCTCCCGTTGATCATCGATTTGCTCAAGTGGGCCCAGTAATGTCCCCATCGTGAGACTTGTTGTTACTGTGTTTGGCATATCAAATACATCACGGGGAGCTTGCCAGGCTCTGCCGTGCGGGCGAGATACTCTCGGTAGCTTGCCGGGCTCTCCGAGAGGGGCGGAGGAATCGAACTCGGGTCGGCCATGTTGGCTGCGTGCAAGGCAAATGCCCTACCACTGTGCTATCGCTCCAGCCCCTACCAATCAATAGATTCTTTTTTTTTTTCACAACAGGACAGGTGTTTTATTGAGCACATACTAAGACACAGAGGCCAGATAACCAGGGGGTGGGGAAGAGGAGGGAGCCAAAAGAAGGGGAAGAGCTGGAGAGAGAGTACAGTCGGAAGGGTGTTTCCCTTGCATGCCGCTGATCCGGGTTCAATTCCTAGCGTTTCAGATGGTCCCCAGAGCACTGCCGGGAGTGATTTCTGCCGGGAGTAACCCCTGAGTATCGCCAGGTGTGACCCCAAAAGCATAAACTACACAAAGGAGGATGAGACTTAGATCTTGCCTCAAAACTTCACTGCCCACCACCGCGGTTCACTGATTCCTGAGCCCTCCAGGGGCCAGCCCAGGACACTGTGTCCAGGCACTCCTCCCCCTCTGCCCTCAGCCCTTCCCTCTGTAAAAGGCAGAGAATAACAGTACCCACCACATCGGGGGCTTGCCAACCACCAAACGCTCCGTGGAAGGTGCTCTGCAGGAAGCCTGACTGCACTGAGCAAGGACTCTAGCCTCAGCTGAGGTCCGAGTCATCCCTGAGCTGAGGTCCGAGTCATCCCTGAGCTGAGGTCCGAGTCATCCCTGCTGCTCCTGGACACGAAGTTGGTCTGAAAGCACGTGCATTGGGATAGCTGGCAGATCCGGGGAGCTTGAGGTGCTCAGCACACCACCGGCCCGCCCCCGCCATCCCTGTTGGTCCCCGACACTTCAGCCCTTCCAGCACCCAAGCGGGGAGCCCTGGTGGTCCCCCAGCACCACGGAGCACAAGCAGCAGGGTACCACCCAACCTGGGCGCTGCACTCCAGCCCACGTGCCTGCCTGAGCTAGCAGGGAGTGAGCCCTGGGAGCCCCCCACAGATAAACAGGTAAAACAGAAATGCTAATGTGGTGGGTGGAGCCAAGTGGGGAAAGGCCAGCTCAAGGTGACCAGCCTGAGGTCACAGGGTCCGGCTCTATGGATCTATTGTTCCCTTGGTCTATTGATTTCAGCCCCAGTTGTGCAGAAAGGGCTGATCAGGACTGTCCTCCAGGGAAGGGCCCCATAAGGGGGCTCGCAAGGCAGCAACCCCAGGAGGGAGCGCGCTCTGTGGCCTGGGAAGACCAGGGAGAAGAGCAGAAACGTTCCCAAGGAGGGGCTGAGCTGTACAAAGCTAAAAGGAGACACGCATTCCCAGCAGAGATGGTTGTGAGCGTTCAGAAGGGCCTCCAGCCTGTGCAGGACTGTGAAACACTTTTCCGACCATGGAACGCTCTGCGGGTGGATCTCTGTCACTGGTGGATCCCTGTGGAACCGTCAGGAAACCTACCCTGGATCCCTAATGTCCATGCCAGTTAGTTAGAGCCAGTGCATGGGCATTGCTGACGAGTCCACAGCTACCTCCAGCATCCTCACACGCCCCTGGTCTCTCTACGCTCCCCAAAGCATAGCAACCAAATCCCGCGTTGCTTGGGTCTGTGGCACTGTCCACATCCCGTCCAAGCCCCCCTCCAGAGTCAAGCTTTATTTATTTTATTTATTTTATTTATTTGGGAGAGGGGCCAAGACTCAGAGACTATAAAAACCAGACATCTTATTATGACATCTTATTATCTCATTCCTACTTTGGACAAACTGGCAGGCTACCGAATGTCACCTGCCCACAGGGCAGAGTCTGGCAAACTCCCCGTGGCGTCCCCAATATGCCAAGTACCAGTAACAATGATGGGTCTCATTCTCCCAAAGAGCCTTGAATATAGCACTTTCTTAAAAATCTCAGGGCTGGGATGAAGGAGACGATACTGGGGCCTGCTCGAGGCAATCGACGAATAACAGGATGGTCGTGATTCATGACTCGTGATTTGGGAGAGGAGAGGGGACCACACCTGGCGATGCTCACAACTTACTCCTGGCTCGCAGAAATCACTCCTGGTGGTGCTCAGGGGACCATATGGGATGCCAAGGATCGAACCTGGGTCAGCTGCACTCAAGGCAAATGCTTTACCAGCCGTACTCTCTCTCTCCCCACCCCACTCCATAGTCAAAATGTTATGCCAGCAGAACAAAGTTTGTACTGAGCAGTGAGCAGAGTCCTTAGCCCTTCGACCTGGTTTCCAGAAACCAAGCACTCTTTTGGAGACGGTAAGTGTGATCGTCACTCTCTAGCCAAGGCAGACACAGAGCTGGAGATCACCAGCCACAGGGATGAGGCGGTCAGAACTCGGACGCACACCTGTGTCCTGGCCCTGCATCCTGGGACCTTGAGGAGGAGTGTTCCCTAGATCCTGGTCACGTCCTGTGCTGCTGCCGGGTCGTTCTGTGGGGGCTGCGAAGGTGCCGTGGAGTTCTGTAACCCCACACGTGTCCCGTCTGGCTGCTCTGTCATTGACAGACATTTATCTCGTCTCTGTAACTGCAGAGTTGAGGGCTCCTTTATGTTGGCTTCCCATGTTTTGCTGATCACTGCACACACACTGAGGTTCATTCTCTCTTCTTGGTGAAGTGAACATTTTTATCATATTTACTGTCCCTTGTATGGCAATATTTCTGTGGTTACTAAGTTTTTTGGTATCCTTTCCATTTTTTTTTTTTTTTTTTGCTTTTTGGGTCACACCCGGTGATGCTCAGGGGTTACTCCTGGCTCATGCACTCAGGAATTACTCCTGGCAGTGCTCGGGGGACCATATGGGATGCTGGGAATCGAACCTGGATGGCCATGTTGGCTGTGTGTAAGGCAAACGCCCTACCCGCTGTGCTATTGCTCCAGCCCCATCCTTTTCCTTTTTGATGCTTATGTGATATATCTTTTTCCTATACCTTTCCTTTTCATTTACCTATGTCATTATGTTTGAAGTGAGTTTCTTACAGAAGGTAAACATTTTTTTTAGGTAGGAGTACTGCTATTTATTCAGCCACTGATTAGCTGATTGAATTGGGCATGAACTCCACCTTACTTTT